CTGGGCCTTTTTGGACATTCTGTTTCTGGAGCAAAATGTCCCTCATACCCCCGTCCTTCCTGGGTGACCCGGCTTAGAACAGGACACCCATTCGTGGCAGTTTTCAGAGATGATTGTAAACTCGTCTGTTTCTGGGGCTGGATCTGCTGATGGCAGGAAGCACGGAGTCCCCAGCTCCGAGGCAGCCGGCTAGTCATGGAGGTGTGTCCGGGCCTCAGATACCTTGAGTTTTCATATTTGTCCTTGGGAGAGTGATGTAAGGTTACAATGGGGAAAGATATTCAATCTTCAATACTAGGTTTTAAAAAGAAAACTGCTGTGTTGATATGTACCTAGAGGCAAAGATTATGGTGAAACTGAAAGGAAATACAGAGACAATTAGCATTCAAAGAAGAAAAAGAACAATGCCTGTGACTTGTCAATGTCAGCGTGACACGGTGAAAGACGATGCTAGCCTCAGAGTTCGGCCTAGGGTCAGCACCTCGGAGCCGAAGCTCCCGCACAGAGAGCCCGCCTGGCCCCACATAGCGGGGCCCATCACCAAAGGGCTGCGCCTTGCTCAGGGAGAGCAAGCCCTAGGCCCTGGCCTCTCTCTCAGTGAGGCTCTACCCTGACATCACTCCCTGGCCTTTCTCTCCGAAAGTCCTAGCCAGGCACAGGGCCCCAGCACCCTTGGCCCTGGGGCCTCTCTCAGAACATTGGAGAATGTGAAGAAGCTACCCTAGAGGACAAGCCCCATAGGGACCCCGGCTTCCTAGTGGACTGGAGGGGCCAGATTTCCAGTCTCTGGCTGAGGTCCATGTGGGCAGCACTTGGGGCTTGCGTCCCCTCCTTAGGCCTAAGCAGTCCTAGCCTTGAGGGGCAGATAGTGAGGGTAAGGGGCTGTCCTCACGCTGAGGATGGCCTGTGACTTATCCACAAAGGGCTCTCTGGGTTTCAGAAAAGTAGTGCTTAACCATGGGCCACTGTTACCAGGCAACCTGGCTGTCCACTGTGACCTGGGTGAGAGGTCACTCACGGAGCCTAAAGAGGCCACACACAGGAGACCACATGAAGGTGAAATGGTTCACACATGACGGGATCTCGGAGGATCAGAGCCGAGAGATAAGAGCTGGCCCTCCTGCCAGACAACCAATCCCTCTTTCAGCCTAGACTTGTGGGCCCATGGAAGGCTCCCTATGACCTGCTGACAGAGGAAGCAAAGTCATGGCCTGGCTTACCGGTGACTCTGCATGTCAATATCCAACAGGAAACTGGACGGCTGCGCTACAAAGGACCATTCGGGATGTTTGTGAAGGACAGTGGGTAATGAACCCATCACGATGGGCAGAGATTGGGCCGTTCACCTCCTCATTCACCTTGAAGATCTCCTACCTGCAGACTTTTTCCATGGCGGTCACCGTAGGGGAAAAAGCATGAGTGAGGATACGATGGCAAAGGAGCTCCAATCCAAGGATGCCATCCTGTGAGTGTTGAGCACAAACTGGAGTGTGCTATGCTGCATTATGAAGTTGTACAAGTTAATATAATGTCATTAACTACATGATCCCCTAATATTTAATAATGGGATAATTTTAAAAGAATCTTTGTCAGTCTTCCTCTTGTTTTTGAAAGTAAGAGACATTCCTCTGTTTTCAAATAATGCCAGCATAGTTTTGTTTACTTGCCTCTGTTCATTAAGGATCATGGAAAGCCTCTGTTAAGACTGAGCAGTAGCAGGTGTGCTTAGGGCGTCAGCCATCAGACAGTTATTGAGGAAGATGGCTAGGAAAATAAAAGACAATCATTAAGAGAAAACAAACACCACGTTCTATTCCAGAGTCCATTCAAGACAATCTCTAAATATTGGGCTACAGCATCACTAAACAGAGGAGTGAGGATCGCTGTGGCAATCCAATGTGTTTTTAGTTTGCAGTTTCCATGTTTCTGGTGACATAGATGTTCTGAAAAATTTCTGAGTGGTCCGCAACAGCAGACATGGATGTTTTCCTTGATTTATATCCAAGACACCAGATTCAGCTTGAAAATATTCAGGACATGAGAAGATTTATTTTCTCAATGGTTCCAAGCCAAAGATGTGAGAAAACTGGGAAGGTTCATGGTAGAGTTATAACCTACATGGCTATAACCTAATTGGAATAATTCAGAATTGTTCATGGACTGGGAAAATGTGCAAGAGGAAACATACAAGGATGATAATGGCAGTGAGCTCTCCTGCAGCAGCTGCCACCTCGACTAGACACAAATCGCAGCAGGACACTAAAGGTGAGGGGCAGAGTGCGACCCTTGAGGAAGTGTGCTACCCTTTACAAGAGCCATGTGAATTCTGTGATTTACAGAAGCAGGGAAACATGGATTATGTATGGAAATAATTAATGGTGGAGGGACAATGTTCAAAGAAATATTCATTGTGATGAAAGGGAATTTAATAGTTTGGGGCGACAAGACAGAGACTGTGCATTTATATCTGCAGCTTGGGTCATTATCAAAGTCGTATAAAGTTTATTGAGATGGTGGGCTGAAAAAGACATCCAAAGATGGACCAAAAATTGTAACATGGAAATGCCCACTGATTCCTGCTCTAATATAGAAGAAGGAATGCTTTGGTTGGCCCATGGGCTGATAGCCCCTTTTCAGAAAGTTTTATCCGAGTAACTATCTCTTTGGGGGAAACAATGAACTAGATAATTCAGCGACCACAGGAAAATGGTTATGAACAGAAATTGGTCTCAGAATCCAAAATAATACTATAGCCCTCACTAAGACTAGGAGCTTTTGAGGGTCAGGTGACCAGTGAATTTTTGCTCAGGTCCATTTCGAAATAGGTCCAAATTTGATCTCACCCATTCTGTGGTTGCTCCTGGTTGTAAAATGCATAACTGAAATAACTATACCAGCGGAATTATCCCACACACTCATCACCGATGAGTCAAGGCAACTGTGGAGAGAAAGTCTAAACCAATCCATAAGAACTGCCTGTAACTGTGCAAGTATTAAGTTAGAAGCTGTACCATCTGCCTGATGAATATGAGAGATTTGTGCCAACATGAAGGATTTGAAAGATTCAGGAGTGCGGATTTGGGCACATCCTCATTACGCTTTTGGTTTGTTTTGAGAGAAAGAAGGAGGAAGAGAAGGAGGAGGAGATTGGACAGGAACCAGAAAGAGAGGAGGAAAAGATGGAGGAGTAGAGGAGGAGGAAAGAAAGTTTAGAAGAAATAGAAAGAATAAGAAAAGGATGGGAAGCAAGAGGAGGAGGAGTAGGAGATGGAGAAGAAAGAGAGAGAGGAGAAGACACAACTTGGAAAGTGGCAGTGTGCTCACCGATTCTTTAACTACAGGAGACCCTATGCTGCTGCTGTACCATGTGGTTACTTTGCTTGAGCAACTTCAAAGTCCCCATCACCTTGTACCATATGCACCTACAGTGCAGGCAAATGCCTCCTCCTCGTGTTCCCATAGTTCAATCCAATTTGCCTTCTCTCAGGTGGCAAGGCCCCCACACACCTTCATTATCTTCCCTCAGGGATGAGTCATCTCTACAGGCTGAAGGTCCTCACTGCCCTTTTCTTCCACAGGAAATACTTCTTGCTGGTCAGTTACAATGATGACGTTATCCAGAATGGGCCAAGTGAGTGGGACAATACTACTCTAGAGTTGATACACTTTTAGAGTCAGTAGCTGAGGAAGAAATCTGACTGAAATTCAGAATTCTTACTCAGTGAAATATGTTTGTGTCCAGTGCTCTTCTGTGGGGCAGGCAGGTGTCTGAGGTAAATAATGATTTCTGGCATCTGGCCCCTGCTACCAAGATGGAGAACCAGCGCCCAGGGAGCCTCTGGATTTTAGAGGCAGATTACTCCTCAGTTGGGTATATGACTCCATGGAGTGACCTGAAAGTTTGCTTCTTTTGAGTTCAACCCGGAAAAAGACAGGCACTGTCACAGGTGCAGGCTGCTGCGTGTCCCCCTCCATGCACCGCAGCAGACGTGATGCTCCTACCAGTGTCCCCGGCAGATGGGGATTGTGGTTGGGACCTTGGGAAGGCCGGTGTGTGAGTCACAGTGCAGGTGCTCAGGATTCCCCACCCATGAGCATATCCTTGTTTACTTACCTTTGGTTCACTCAGGATGAGATGAAGCCTGTGTTCGGACTTGTCAGCAGCAAGTTGCTGCAGGGTGTTAGCCACCAGACAGTTAATGAGGACTGGTGTCTATGAAAAGAAGAAAACTAAGAGTTACAAAGCCAATTTCTAACTACAGAGTCCGCCAAACAAGGCAGTTTATGAATACTGGGTGAGAGCATCACTAGATGGAGGAGTGAGGACCGCTGTGCCAATCCAATGGCTCTCCTGGCTTCCATTGTGAATGTCTGTGGTGATGACATAGACCATCTGACAAATTTCTGAGTTGTCCACAGCAGCACACATGGATTGTTTACATGACTTGTAGCCAAGACTCAGATTCAGCACAAAGAGCTTAAGGACATGAGTATATATTTGGGTCAATGATTCCAAGCCAGAAGCGAGAAAAATTGGAAAGGTTCATGGTAGAAAGCTGGCAAATCTGATCGTCAGGGTTCCCTGGGTTGCTGAGAGCTGGGGAAGAGGTAACTAGGGGCCAAGCTGCATAGGTGTCCTGGCTCCCCACAGACCTGTGGGCGGCAATGGCTCCAGCCTCTGGCTGAGTCCATCAGGGCATCGCTGGTGGCTTCCATCCCCATTAGTCAAAAGTTGTCCTAGCCAGTGCTCACTTTGGCAGCACATATACTAAAATTGGAACGATACAGAGAAGATTAGCATGGCCCCTGCCCAAGGATGACACGCAAATTCGTGAAGCGTTCCATATTTAAAAAAAAAAAAAAGTTGTCCTAGCCAGAGGGGCAAACATTCTGGGTGAGGGGCAGTCATCACCCTGGGGATGGACAGAGATTTGTCCCACAGGATTTCCTGGGTTACAAAGAACAAATCTTAAACATGGGCCACCAAGTTACCGTGCAACCTGAGCTGTCCATTATGACCCGGGTGTGATGTCACTCACAGAGTCATTAAGGGCCCTGCACGGAAGACTACATCAATGAGTGTGGGCCATACCTGATCCAACCTGGGCTGATCAAAGTAGTTATATGAGGTGACGCCTTGGACCCTACGGTCAAACAAGGAGTCCCTGTCTCTACCTAGACCTGTTCACTCATGAAAAGCTCCCTGTGGCCTGTTGACATTGAAGCCGTCATGGCCTGTCCTCCTGATGGATTTGTATGATGTTGATAAGCAATGTTATTTCCTTCTGGAATAATATGAGTACATTTCTCCGTACTTACCTTTTCCTCACTAATATCAGCGTGAGCTTCTGTTAGGACTGGGCAGTAGCAGGTACGCTGTAGGGCCTTAGGCATCAGTTCATGAGGAATTGTATCTATAAAAAGAAAAGGAAATCATTCATTCAGTGTTAAAAAACAAGTTCTAATCCAGATTCTGCTCAAGACACTTAGTAAATATTGGGCTATGGCATGTAACACTAAGTGGAGGAGTGGGGGCTGTGGTGGCAATCCAGTGGGGTTTCTGAGTTCTCTTTCCATGTCTGGGGTGATGACACAGACATTCTGAAAGTTTCCTGAGTGCTCCAGAACAGTGGACATGGATGGTTTACTTGATTTGTATCCAAGAGATCTAATTCAGCATGAGGAGATCAATTTTGTCACAGGTTTCAAGCCAGATATGAGAAAAACTGGAATGGATCATGGCAGTGTCATAACCCACACAGGAGGAAAGTAGAATAATTCAGAATTTGCCAGGGAACAGAAAATTTTCAAGAGGAAGCACACCAGAGTAACAAAGACAGTGAGCTCTTCTGCTATAGTTGCTACCTTGATTAGACTCAAATCCCAGCAGGTCCCTAAAGGTGAGGGGAGAGTTTGGCTTCTGAGGTGGTGTGCTACTCTATGTGACATGTAAATGCCCACTCTCCCTTGTTTTAAATTATGAAGAAGCAGTTCAAAAGTTTATGGTGGTGGTAATGTTGGAGTTGATTGGTAATGTGAGTCCTATTGCCCACTCTGGGAGTGCCCACATGGCATACCTTTCACCAATGCACGGGGAACTATATCGATGACTGGAAACAGCATATTTGAAGAGCTGCATGAAGACTCTTCTATGAAAACCAGACCTTGGGAACTGCACCCTCTCAATGGGAAAGTCCAAATGTGACGAGAGACATTGAACCCCAGAGGCAGGGGCACTGGGCCTTTTCCAGTCACTGAACTCACGGTGGATCTGATCAGCCTGAAATACAGCAAATCCAAGCAGGATCTAGTGAGTCTGACTGGCCCTGACGTACAGTGTTGGCTAATGAGTCATCTGTTCCTAGCGGTGGGGAGAGGAAGCTCACGGCATTGTTGCTCCATCTAGTGAAGCAGAAATGTCCCCGTGAGTCCCAGGACCCAGCAGCCTAGGCCCTGTGCCTAATTATCTGAGATTCAAAGGAAGCCTTATTGCCTAATACAGGTCAATTATATGAAAATCAAACTATTGTTCACAGAAAATATCTATTCTAATAGAGCCACAGCTACTTATTTACACAGAGTCAAGACTGTTATCTAATAATGAGGAGAGGCTTGGAGTTTCTGCAGAAACCGTAAGCCATTGAGTCTCTGGCTGTTACAGAAACAGCTTGCTGACTTCTGACCTA